ACTGTTTTCCATCACACTACATGTGATGGAATGTTTTTATTGATATTTTTTAACTCTGCATAATCAAATTAGGTAATATCAGGCTTTTTTTTTTTTTTTTTTAAATAAAGGTAATTGTGACCTTTTTCTTTTTTTTTTTACTTTTTAACTTAGCTTAATTATAAAAAACTAAAATCTGAGAGCGAGTCATAATTGTGAGATATAAATTTTGAATTATTTTTTCCCCCCTGAGAATTCGGAGTTTACATCTCGCATTTTTCTTCTTTTTTTTCTGAAACAGAATTTTAGAAAGTTTATATCTCACAATTCAGCTTTTTTTTGTTTCTAGCACAGAATGATTTATTTTTAGTAACTGCAGCTTTTTAGCTCATAATTCAGACAAAAAATCATAATTGCGAGATATAAATTCAGAATTCTGACTATTTTTCCTCAGAGTTTACATCTTGCAATTGTTTTTTTTCTTTGCCACAATTCTGACTTTTTTCAATTCGGTTTTTAAAAATACAAAAAATAAAACTTTAAATAAAAAAGGTAATTGTGACATTTCTCTCGTAATTGTGCTTTTATGCTCACAATTCTGCCTCTTTTTTTTTCTTACAATTGCAAGTTTATATCTCACAATTCTGTTTTGTTTTTACCACAGAATTAAAAAAAAAAAAGTGGGCCTTTTTATCTAAAAATTCTGACTTTTCACTCATAATTGTGCTTTTAAACTCACAATTCTGACGTTTCTTGTCACAATTTTAAGGTTTTATCTCACAACTCTGACTTCTTTCTCCTAACTATTTTTTCCACCACAGAATAAAAAATAAAAAAAAGTAATTGCTACTAGCAGAATGTTTTTCTCTCGTAATTTTGAGTTCATATCTCACAATTCTGACTTTTATTTTCAGAATTGCAAGTTTATATCTGAACTGTGAGATAAAGACACAATTACCTTTTTTACTTATTTTTTTAATCCCGTGGCAGAAACACGCTTCTATACTAACCGGACTGTAATTAATTAATGTTTGACACTCATGAAAGCATGTCTTTCGGGTTGTTAATCTGAAATGACATCTAGGACAGCAGCTTAAATAAAGAAGCTGCTGTGTGATGATGTGCACATAAAGAGAGCCAAAATGTGCAAAAATAACAATGTGTCAAATAAGAGTAATGCATTGAGCATCAGCGTGTGTCTGTCAGCGAGCCAGAAAAAGACTCTTTTATCAAACAGACCTCTCCTCACGGCCTGATCATCATCTTTTGCTGCTGGTCCCAACGCTGACGTCTGTAAACATGAAGGTTATGATGAACTGCAGCATCAGCGAGTTCCTGGAAAACACTTTGTTCTGGGACTTCAGCCAAATTAAGATTAAAAAACCTGCAGCCAGTTACAACAACACCTTTAATCTAACCTTCATTTAACCCTAGTGTTGCACTCAATCTCCTCACGTCTTCTGTCTCTGATTGATAGTTTAGAGTGTTTTATCCAGTAAAAGCTATTTTAGTGTAATTGTACAAATGTTCAGCTTCAGCTGGAGCTTCTCGTGTCAAATCTTGACTGATAGAGCAACCACTATATATCAGTATCTGCTGCACTGTTATAAAGATCTCATTGATTTACAAGCATCAGAATTTCATCATAGAAATATCAGCATCTGCACCCAAGTCATATTTCTGCTCAGTTCGAGTCTCTGAATAATATTTTGCTGTTTTTTCCTTCATATTCTCACTATATCAGAATATATGAGCCATAAAAGCATGATGATCAAATATGATGCTCAACAAAAACACATGCAAACTTTTATTTTTTACAGTTTTGTTTACAGTTTCAATAAACGGTTCCATTTCAAAAATATTAAATTTTCCCAATATGTCAGGTTTTACAGGGTTAAAGGGTTTGTTGTAACTGGTTGTGGGATGAACCGTTACAAACATTATGAGAGTTATCAACGGTTTTGCCCAAACCATAAAGAAAAACAATAATGGAAATATCATACCTGCAAACTACAGAGCAGCGGATCAACACCAGTGTCTATCACAACACCCTCAACTGGAAAACAGCTGCAAAAATCACAAATGAAAAAACAACAGTTCAAATAATACAAGTTTTGACAAAATCAAACCTCACATTTCAGCCTAATAAATTAACGTTATTTGGGAAAGCGGTTACCCGTGTACATAAAGCAGCTCTGCACTTACTGTATAAACCTCAAACAGAGGTGAGACGAGCTGAAAATAACATGGAAACTGTTCTGAAGACAGTCAGTCTCATATACAGTACCTGAATAAACATATGAAGAAAAAAAGTCACAATGTGTGTGTTTTTTTTTTTGGGAAACAAAAAACAGAATTGCAAGTAACCACTGAATGTACTGTACACTCTGAAT